CACGAACTCTGCACCCCGATGATTAATTGCAATCAACATTTCTGATCCGAACTTTTCATTGTGTCAAAGCACTCACCTAGTTTCGAATAGATCTCGAGGCAGTGTTTCGAGAATAGAACCAGAAAAGAAAGAAATAGGAAACAAATTCATTTTTCATCTTGTTCTCGCTGTATATCCACCAACTTAATTACAATCAGTACTGTTTAAACAGAATAATTTCCAACGTGCCTAGATTTGGTGTTGTCGAGTCTTATTAATTGCAAGCAGCCTGCTTGTTTTCAGTATTGATTCTCGTCAATGTTTAAATGTCATTCTATTTGTTCCTGACAAGAAAAAAAGTACAATTGTCTCCCTATTTGTTTCTGAAAAGAAAAAAAGTACAGTTGACTCCTCACTATATGTTTCTGAGAAGAAAAAAAGTACAGTTGACTCCTCCGAACTCGTAACTTTACAACTCGAATTATGGTCCATTTTCTCATAAATCCAACACGCCTCGGTCCAAAATCGTCCGTGGAATGCCGAGTCTGTTGTAAGTGGCAACATAAGACCCCATTTTCCATAGACTGCATAGACATAATCGGTCTAAGTGGATCGATCCAACTCTGCGGGGACTCTTGCTGAGTGCAATCAGCTTAACTGAAAGACACGCCTTTTGGTTACAATGTACACGTAAAGTCACCAGCTTTTCTGTATTTTACTTAACGCCACGAGGAGTGTTACCTCTTAAACTGACTGCATTCAGCGAGAGTCCCCTCGGATTTATTTCAATCCACGCGGTTAGGGGCATGGAGTCCAAAATTCTATCCGATTCAGCGCCACCCCAGAAAAACGCAACGCGGACGGAGCCTTATCGCATGCACTGAAAATACAATACATCAGAGTTAAACGACTCATCGTTATGTTGAATCATCAGCAGCTAATCGATCAGTCTACCAGGGATCCCAGTACTGGCAGTTTCGGTGAACTGGATTAATTCTGTTGAACGAATTCTCTCATTGCTATATATGCACGCGTGTTCTAACGGGTTATTGGAATCTAGGGAGACTCAACGGGAATAAAGCGGTCAGTGATCGGCGCGGTTGGGTGATTTTCGACCTTGGCGGTGTAAAAGAACCATGAATTAATAAAACAGAAAACAATAGAAACTCAATTCATTTGAGGTATGGAGGTTGCAAAGGGGGGGGGGGGGTCGAGACGGGTGGATTTGGAGGGGATGGGACGGATCAGTGACTTTTCTCTTCCTTAGGGACGATATCAAGAATATGCGTTGTTAAGGTTTATTAAGACAAGACTGATTTCGGCCGAAAATCGGTCCAACTGGCGTCGTCTGACAGACACAATACAGCAAAAATTAATTAATTAAAATTGTATGTCTCGTAATGAACGGCGCAAATTGAGACCGATAATCGATGTGAGTCGTCCTAGTATAACCACAGGTGGGGCATTTGGCCAAACGTGGTCAATTTTGATTATTTATTCAGTTACAGGAGGAGTCATCGTAAATGACATTATTTCACCACAAACATCTAAGGCCTGTGTTGCTTAAGAATATTAGCTGCTTTAATGTACAGAACCTAATGAGGGAGAGGGTGCACACGCTCTCTCTCTCTCTCTCTTTCTCTCTCTCTCTCTCTCTCTCTCTCTCTCACACACACACACACACACACACACACACACACACACAGAGAGAGAGAGAGAGAGAGAGAGAGAGAGAGAGAGAGAGTGTGTATTTATATTTTTCACAAGCACTCAATTGCTATTTTATCGTATTTGTCCTATGAGTCACAGTGCTAGTATAGAAGGAAAAAAATACCCGCATCTTTTCCATTCTTTTTCAGATCTGGGTCTCAAAACTCGGTGTACGGGCTCACACGTTGGAATAAATGTGCCCCAGTTCAAATGACATTGTTAAGAAACGAATTGCCAATAAGGCCGCACGAACAGTGAACTAACGAGTCCGAGGGTTCAAATATGGCCGACCCACTAAAAATATTTCTCCACGGGGAATCTATATTCAGTGTCTTTTAGCGGAGCTTTTTAGTGGGTCGCCATATTTGACCCGCGAACCAGTTAGTCCACTGTTCTGAATGCAGCATTGTTGAGAAACGAATTACCAATATCACTCCTCTTTCATAAACGATTTAGTTTTAAAAATTGCAAGCATCAGTTTTCTGTTGCTTACAAGACAGCACGCTGTACCTGCCATATCGCTAGTTTGAAATAATCTGCATCTCATTCTCTACTTTCCCGCTGCTATATTTCTGTAATAAGTAAATTGAAATAACAACGCTATATTTACTCTAAACGAGCACATGGCTCTGTCTCCCCCCCCCCTCCTCCCCTCCCCTCCTATTACAAATAGATAATACAATAAAATGAAGGCTTCGGCGTACATCCCAGTACAACTCGCAAGCACGCACACAGGATAATAATAAAATTGACTTTGTGGTGTAATTATGTAAATTAGAAAAAAATCTGGAAACCACACACTTTTGGGTTTTCATTGTTCCAGGTTCTTTTCCATTCTGCAGTACGCAGTAAGGAGCTTGGCGTTTATTCTATTTTTTTATTCTTATTTATCCCTTTATTATTATTGTTGTCTTTATTTGTGTCTGCGTTCACCGTTATCACACAAGGTGAGTAATTAATTTGTCTAGACTATCCTAGCAGCTGTAGCGTTCTATCCCGTGGTGTTAAGATTTATGGCAAGTTCTCTTATTATGCCTAAATACAGCGGCGGTTCTTTCCTGTTGTCATCCTTTCACAGCGGAAAGAAGCCTCGCTCTCAGCGGGTCCTTAATGCGATTCTAACGAACGCCGAATTTTCAAATCGTGCCTGCTCTGTTCTTTAATAGTTTTATTAAGTGTTCCCAGTGCCTTTTAACGTATTTGAAAAATATGAAAAGCCCTTCAACCAAGGAAATCATATACCTCCTTGATTCAAAAGACATTCTAGGGTTGGGTCGCTGTTGTTTCCGCAAAGCGTAATGCAATCAAATTACCCTTTAAAGTTCGGATGACTTTCTTTTTGACATTTGCGGTGGTGGTTTAATTTGGTGTTGTCTCTGCCTAAAGTAATGCATCCAGAATTCCCTCAGAAGTTTGAATGTTATTATTTTCAGAAGGTGTGTTTGTTGACATAACAGCAAAACCCGGAAAACATCTTTTACTGGAGCAAAGATAAGTCTGTGGTCCTCTCTTGAAAATAAATGGAGTTCAAATAGCGATGAGCTGCGACAAAAAAATTAGAGCCAACAGAGTGATTGCACCCAAGCTACATCAGTGTGTTTCTTTCCCTCCCCAAAACACAACTATTTAACTTGATATATCTGAATCTCTCTTTCTTCCCCATCTCTCTCTCTCTCTCTCAATATCTAATCCCATATTCTTTATGTAGGCATTACGTCATATCTATGCTGGAATGATACCTAGAAAAAATATCTAGAGGGTTAAGACGGGGGTTTTCGTCTCGCGCCTCGGTTAAAATGAGCCCAGCTTATTGCATCTGTAATCTACATCATCGGTGACTCCGACCTCCAAGTTGTCAATAACTCATCCCATAGTGAGGCTCGCAAAGGTGACCCCGGCCGCCTCTAGCGCTCTTTTTGTCACTTGCCAAATACAATACCTTGATACCTTTTGCCCGTTCCACAAAATTAATTTAGCTCGAAAATAGGTCTTAACTTAGAGAAAGGTACTTTGAGTCAAGTTAGATCAGTGGTAGGTTAATCGGATTTAAATATTCAGATATTTTGTCTTTTTAAAAGGAAAAATGCATGGCCAGTGTTTAAGCCCAAAACTTATTTCATTTTCTAAATGAAATCCGCGACGTAAAACGTTTGGACCAAGTTCCGTGCCAAACTTTTAATTGTGAAAACGGCCCCGAGACACCTGGAGCGAGCTTTCACCTTTGCAACCCGACATAGCTTACTGGATGCTTCTTTTATTACGGAGATAATTAAATACTACGTACTCTACAAACAGGATAGATAACTCGGGGGCTTTTTTTGTTCTCGTGAGGACAAAGGTTAAGACTTGATTTGAAGAGAGAGAGAGAGAGAGAGAGGGAGAGAGAGAGAGAGAGAGAGAGAGAGAGAGAGGGGAGTTTGCATCTTGTTTTTATATAATTTCAAATCTTATACCGGGGTTTTCGTATGTTTTTTTTTTCAGTATGCATGTGTGTGAGCGGCATTCATTTGCTTTTGTATAGCACAACGGAAGTTACCAAGTACGATTTTAACACCGATGTTTACCGTGAAAGCCCTCCGTTTCTCACCATCGTGGAAATATGTTCTGAATTTAAATATCCCCAAATATGTTTTGAGTTATTTTTACTCCTAATGTGACAGTTGCTGTTTGCGTGAGAGCCATCATCACAAGAAAGGCACCGGTGATGAAAAGGGACACCTATATATTAAATTTTAAAATGCTCGTAATTTAAAAACTGCAGGAAAGAAGAATTCGCTTGCTTAGACGCTTGGAGTAGGGAGTATTTGAAATAGTAACATTGGCTTTTTCTTTGTGTTACTGCCAGGGCTAATTATTTCTCAGGTCCGCTATTTTTCGCCGGTTCTTAAAATATAAATGGAATGAGAATTAATACATTTTTAGAGTTCACTCTACACGAAGGATTCCTTCCACCCCCCCCTCCCCCACAATACTTTCTCCATAGTGCAAGCAGGGTCTTTTTTTCTACTATATACCTGCAACTATTAACTTTCTTCCCCTTTGCCTCCTTCCTCTAATCCTTCCGCAGCCCTGTAAACAGGATTCCCCTTCCTTCCTTCCTCCTCTCTCTCTCTCTCTCTCTCTCTCTCTCTCTCTCAACATCCCCTCAAACTATTATAAACTGACATATCGCGTACACATTTCGCTACAAGGCACATTTCATTCTACACGCCCTAATTCAAGCCTTATCAGAAAAAAACTCATTGTCGCGTTGCGCATTTCACCCTCTTCCCCTCAGGACAACTCGGTGATATGAAAACGCTCTTTGTGCAGCGGATGACACATCTGCCCGCGGAGTTCACCCTGGGTAGCCCACTGAGATTTCTGGCATAGCATCTGAGTGTTCAACATTCCTGTGACGAAGAGCGTAGGGCAGAGCAGTAAGCAGCGGAGATTCGAGTCATCCGAAGAGAGCAAGCAAGCAGGCACGGTCCAAGACAGGCGCTAGTGTAGGACATATAGATTAAAACGCAAGGGAGAGATCTTACTGACAGCGTCGCTGTATCATCACATTCGTATTTAGTTCACTCAAGCGGAGCTTACGTCGGGTCGTTCGTATAGAACCAAGCGAGCGCATATCACTCTGTTGATCATCACTGCTTAGAGCATTGCTAGTACTGTACATTCTCTGCACTGTGTGGTCAGTTCTCATTATAAAAATGGCATCAGACAGCGACAACAAGGAGCAGACAGAGCAGAAGCCAGCCGCACCCCCGGCAGAACAAAATGGCCAGGATGCCCCAGTGAAGACCGAGGGCAACGTGGAGAAGAACGAAGCCAACAACACCACGGCCGCCGAGGAGAAGAAGGAGAACGGGGAAACTTCGACCAAGATCGAAGATGCTGCCGCTGAGACGAATGGCACCGAGAAAAAAGACGGAGAAGCCGTGAAGGAGAAGGAGGAAAAAGTCGAGGAGCCCGCCAAGCCGACGGTCCGTCATGTGTTTCTTCACGGAAAGCACAAGTTGAAGATCAGACAAAAGGAATACGAGGTCACTCCCCCGGCCAAGCATGTCCAGGTCCGCGTCAAAGTTGTCGGTGTTAACTTCAATGATTTGATGGCCAAATGCGGCCTCTACAAGCCCCATCTCAAGCTGCCCACACCTCTGGGCTGGGAGGCAACTGGAGTTATCGAGGCAGTCGGGGAAGAAGTAGACGATTTCAAGGTAAGACACGTTTTACTGTTACACCTGATGTTTGTTTTCTTACTGTTCCGCTCTACATAGTTTTCAGAAACTGCGCTATTGATTCATGATAGAAAACAACAGCTGGGTTTTGTTTTTATGTGACATCCTCAAGCCAAATGAAAAGAGGATCGTTTTTATTTAAAATATTCTATAAAACTTGATTAACACTTCGACGTTAGTCCAGAAAATCTCTATCTTCATGCAGCGATCTCCTCGATTTTTCGACACAATAATTTATTCCAAATTAGCAAAACCAAGGCTTGTTGTATCATGAATGCGTAACCAGTTAGCGATATCTTATCTAAAATGTGTTCAGAAATATGCCGCACTGATATTGCTCAGACAAGCTCAAATCTGGCCACAGCGCCGCTGGAGAGAACTGGACGTTTTCGCTGTCGATGCGGCCCTTTCCTGCCACGCCTCTCTCGCAGTCCGAATCAGCGGATCTGACGCTTACAACCAGGCTCCGGACGGGCAGCTTTTTCTCATTATCTCCCCGTCACTGGGCGGAGGAATCTGTCCAAACTGACCACGCTGACCATTCCCCCTTTTAACAAACACTATTATTAAATGAATTTCATAAATTAAGCCCCCCGGGACTGGTGTAAATCTATATGTTTTTCTCCCTTTCTTCTTGTGAGAATGATAATTAGGCCTGGTTATGCGAGTCTGCAGGAAAAACGGGATTTCATTCCAGGGAGGTTGCTTGGGGATCAATAGAAAGCTGTTCTTACGCGACGAGATATATTATGTTAGTGTGATTATGTTCAGTGTTCTCTGAATGCCGGGATGATGCAGTAATTTTTTATAATTCTTTCGGGTCCGTTCAGACGGGGACACGTTGGAGCAAAATTCGGTCCAACTGGCGTCGACATAACATTTATGTATGCAGAGTTCCCACTGTATTTTAATTGTTTATGTATGTGGATGACACATGCAGTTATTGACTGCTTATTTAGATTTACGGTGATAAGTGTGTCATGGTTTTTGAGAATCTCTTTACCCTGTTCGGTTTGTGATGTGTTTTTTTTTTCTTCCAACATCGTAAGCATACGAGTGTAATGCTATTGATATGTTATCCCGTATCACGCTGTGGTTCTCTATCATTGCTTTAATGTGTTTTGCAAATAAGGCATGTGTGCTATGTAAAACAAACTCTCACTCTCTTTTTATTATGATTATTATTTTTATTCAGTGTGCAATTGTCTGTTTAAGTTATGTGTGGAATGCAACTTGACCCATATTATTCCCGAATTAAACATACAGAATGTTAAGACAATGCTTCGCGTTAATATTCCACCGACTAGGGTCATGTAGATTAAAATCTGAAATAACTTTTGTAGCTCTTAAAGATCTTATCTGTCGACACAGTTTCTGTCCCATTCAAAGGTCATGTTTTATACGACCCACGTATTAATAGACCTAAAATTGATAAAAAAAGAATACCGAAAAAAAAAAAAAAACAGGCGATTTTGTTTTTAAAGCTCATTTGATGTTTGTCTATTTAAAATTCTAACACTCAAAACCATTTGAACAGCTGACTCAGTCAAATACGGTTGATAGGGGAATTACTGCCCACCTATTACAATATAGCGCCCAGCACGTTTACTAGAGGCTTGGTCATCTTGTTGTGAGTAAAAACAATGACTGGACATCGGATAGCGCACGGCACTGCGTGTTGGATGTCCATCTAGGCTTAACGCTGGTCCAGTTGGTCATACCCTCGGACTCATTATGGGTCAAATTCATATACTGACTAGCCACTCATCCATGGCCAGAGCGGTTTGTATTGAGTAAGTGGAGAGAGAGAGAGAGAGAGATAGGGACTTTTTGTTTATGACTCATTTGCACCCCTCTCCTTTTTTTCTGTGCACATGTCACATGATTAAAGATAAATTGCTGCACCCCCCGCCACTCAATCCTGACGGGTTGCGCGCGCGTGTGCACCGAATAAGAGAGAGAGAGAGAGAGAGAGAGAGAGAGAGAGAGAGAGAGAGAGAGAGAGAGAGAGGGATGGTGGAAGTATAGCTGTAAAATATCTTAGCATTAAACACAGATGGAAGAATATCTAAAACTTTCTGCAGGGAGAATAAAGACATGAATACATGACTGACTTCAAATTTTATTAAGGCCCATAGTCACTGTATATTGAGTGAAAGAGATGCATATCCATCTCTTTGCTTGAGTCTATTTGAATATGAGTAATCTAAAAAAGATCAACGTCAGTTGACATATATCTAGCAACATATTTAGAGTATTGTTTCCCGCCCCCCTCTCAATATCATTGACAACAAATATGATCCTCTCCACCCCCACCCCACCCCACCCACCCACTTCCTGCAGTTCCTCTTTTGCTCTACCCCCTTGCTATTTTACCTACGACGACCCCCCCCCCCCCAAAGCATGCGATGCACCGATCAAAGTAACGAATCTCCTTCTTTTCCATTAGACCACTATAGACACCAGAGAGACATTATTGTCGCATGTTCTCTTGTATCTGAGCCATGCTTGCTTTCAATTGTAGCTTTCTATATGCTTCTGGGCAATCAGAATAATTTCAGTCCCCATCATCAAGGGAGCGATGTAATTATCCACGTTCCGACCCACAAATTTTCCGTCGCCTCCATCATGTGAAAAGACAGCGGGATTCATATTGTTTGCCTTGTGACTAACTCCCGCATGACATCACTTCATTTGCGTTCGATTTCGTTGTCAACTTTTTTCCTCAGTGACAAAATAACCAAGGTCACGCGTATTTGATGATCCAGGTTCGGGGCTGGGGTGCCAATGCGTATTTATGTGTTAGAGAATAATGCGGCATGTTTCTTGTGATTGAATATGGGATTCGTTTTAATATAAATAGAATGATATAAATAGAAGCTTTTCTGTGATGTTATATATTTATTCATTGGTACATCCATTATCTTCACAGATTAACCTGTTAAATTTAAATGTGTAAGCTACGATAACAAAGTGATTGTTTATTTTTAACAAAGTGAAATGAAAAGGTCAATATTTTTGGCGAGTGATGACTTGCTTCCCATTTCAGTCAAAAAGAAAACTGTCAGATGAATGCAATCGGGTCAACAACATCTGCTTAATAAGCAAGTAGTGTTGTACACATACATTTACCACTCTGTTATATTACTAATTCGTGATTAACGAAACGGGATACGCTGCATTGGGGGATGAGACGAAAAAGACAAAAGCACGAGTGCAGCGATCTCCATGCGACGAAATCAACAAGCGTGCGGAAATCGACAAGCTCGATGTAAACGACAACTCCGAAATCGACATATCCGCATTGTTATGGCGATGATTCATTCACTTATTTCTGTCATCTGCCTGAACTTTGTTCCAACCGATCGTTATAATTAGTTTAGATTAGCTCTCTGTGTTTCATATTAACGGATTGATCATTAGCTAAGTAAATAAGTGTTATTTTAAGTTGCTTATTCCCTGTTAACAGACGTTCCTTGTATTTACTCTTTGGAAATCGAGACCCTTTTTACAATGACTGTATTTATTAGATCTATGGTTACATCCTGATTACACACATGATGAAAACATAATGCATTATATCAGATATCAAATATTCCTCATCCCTATTGCCATTTTGTTATTCTAAAAAGGTCACATCGACCTTTTTTATCTCATTCCAACGGAGTCTGAAAATACAGCTGCGCGTAAAGAAATTAAATTGTCTTAGTTCCCTGCAAGCAGGAAACATGCGGTTTAAAACATCTCCACTTGTTTTGTACCCAAATCACGTGTTGTTCATAATATATATAATAGGAAAAGGGGAACAAAACATAGCCTGTGGAAGCAAGATAGACAATGGTTTTGGGAGGATGTTTCACGGGCATTTCAGGTTTATCAACGTACTCTGTCATTACGACAGCGTCTCCAGACCAAATGGGCGCGTCTCCCTCTCTCTTAAAGAGCAGGCTCATTTCTCGTGATTTCGCTCGTTAACGGGTCATCTTCAAGGTGCGTCCCGAAAAGACGCCGGTGACTGATTAAATCATCTTCCTCGTTACGCAACGCAGGGGTTGTTTAAGTATCAGGTGTAGATCTTTGCTCGGTCATTATTTATGTCCCGTACTCGTTGAATGACACACAATGTTTGTTAGGAGATACTGTTATGATAGACCGTAATATACCTGGCTAGATTTGGAAGCCGATACTCTAATCGTTGTGAACGAAGTACATACTATAGTAAATTAGCCGGGCCTGGCGAAGTGCGATGGAATTTCAAAGGAATCCGGAGTAATATCTCGATTAGTCATTACGTCATAGGCATGCACCCTGAGTTTGAGAAGCTACTGAATCCCCCCCCCCCCCCCCCCCCCCCCACACACACACACACACTCTGGCCACAGGATGCTCTAGTAGCCTGTTACAAAAATGTTGTATAGTATTTTAGTGGGGCCTGAAAGTTTAGTATTTTAGAGGGCACTCTTCTCTCCAAATACAGGCAGAAAGGCATACTGATAGAAGAGGGAAGTTCTCAGTGTGTATTTTATCCCACGGTGAAGCTCTTAGGGTTTAAATACAGCCATCTCCAAACTCAGTACTCATATCTGACCACTAATAAAGCAAATGTTGTTCTGTATCTAGACGTTCCCCAAGACTGTATCACTGGTGTGCTTATTAAACAGAACGCTTGTGGTTAACCGACCGACATTTATTTACTGACCTCATGGTTGAAATAATAAATAATTTCGGTTTTACGCACCAGTCCCGTGACTGCTTCTTAAACATACATTTAAAGTTGTGTAGTTTCAAAGGTAACACGCCGTTTTATATGTTGACAGGACATGGTCGTGATACAAGAGTACCCCCTCATCTGATAATGAGTTAAAATTTAGCGACACGTATTTGTTTGTTGAAAACGTACTTGAGGTATTATATTGATAAGATCTAAGGTTAAGTAGGTATTCTTGTATGACAAGTGTTTGTGTGGATTGCCAAGAAGG